GGAGGAGTGAATGGAACTGTGCAGTGTCTGTGATGAAGATGAAGGTGGGCTATGTGTCCACACACAGTTGTGGGTGCTGATGGGAAGGAAGCAGATGTAACCAGCTCAGTTTGATATTCTACAGACCCCTCCAGAGCCTGACCAGCTTCAAGGATTCCGTGGGGCAGCTAGACAAAGCAGCCCCAAGCCTGACCCCCTCACCCAGGCTACCAGCCTCTTACCTGAACAACGGTGGGACAGTGGTCTAGTAGAGGACAGAGAAGGTGAGGGGGAGGAGGCAGTCACTGACAGCATGTTTCCTGGATGGCTTCTGGGGAACTCAAGAGGCAGGGCAGGGAATGGGGAAGAGGTGGAAAGCAGGCCCAGACCCAGATGTATGACTCACCTTAGGCTCCAATCCCCACACAGCAGAGGCAGGATGCTGCTGGCTCTGCGGGGTGGGCAGGGCATCTTAATTCAGGAAGCCAGTTCCTTGGGTGGGGCCCCCACCTAGGTTCCCCCATCCTGAGGTCACCAGAATATCCGCATCCGGCCAGAGGCATCTCCGCATCAGCTCAGCCAACACCCGGACCCTCTTGGAAGAAGGGCTGGGCCTTGACTGGCAGAGGGAGGAAGAACCAGCCCCTCAGCTGAGAGGGCAATAGGCCATGACCTAGGAAGGACCCAGCCCTGTTTTTAAGAATGGCTGCGCCATTGACCCACATTATGGGATGAGGATATTGACAACTCTGACAGGAACTCCAAGCTCTTCCCCACTCCTTTTGGAGGACTGGCTGTGCTGAGTTAACCTGGGGGCTTTTAACGATCAACTGTCCTTCCAACACACACACACACACACACACACACACACACTCCTTGAAGCCTGAATCAGAATCTTCTGAATGACCAGAGAATGGCTTTTTAACCAGTTTCCCAGGTATCCTCAATCCTCTGCTTTTTCATCAAGAAAAACACCCCGGGGCAGGAAATGCCTCACTGGGAGAAGGGGGAGCACCCACTCAGCTGTGCAGGGTGCCTGGCTTCCCTGATTTCCTTAACCCTCGAAGCAACACATTTAAGGGATGAGGAAGTTGAGGCTCAGAAAATTTTCAAGCCTTAAGGTCTCCTAGTTCACACAGCCAGTCCAGCCAGGATCCAAACTCCAGTCTGTTTGACACCAAATGCAGGCTTGTTGCCTCTATTAGCAAGGTTTGTTCTTTTCATGGTAAGTAGAATCTCACTAGAATTCACGAATCAGGATTAGAGAAGTGGTTTTCACTTGATTTGACCAAAGTGGAAACAAACAAACAAACAAAAACCAAACTCACTGCCATTGAGTCGATCTGACTCATAGCGACCTCTCCTTGGGTTTCCGAGGTGGTATCTCTACAGTAGTAGATTGCCCAATCTTCCTTCCGAGAAGTGGATGAGGCTAAAATTCAAAGAGGAGAAATGACTTGCCAGGGTGACAAAGCTACTGAGTGGCACAGCAGACACTCCTCGGGAAGGTGACTCCATGCAGACAGTGTTCTTTCCACAGTCCCCAGGGTCAGATAGCCCAATATCTTTGCAGAGCTCTGCTCCCCATGCCAATACTCAGAAGCACTGATAACCTCCAGCAAGGGGACAGATGAGCTGGGGTGAGGCTTAGTGATTGCAGGGATGTAGGAAGAGGGAAAAGGAAATGGAATGGGGGCAAATCCTGTTTCTCCAAAGTTCCACCTTTAGAACAGGCCCAGACGCATCAACAGCCTCCCACATACTTCCTCCCACCTGAACTGGGGCCTCTGGGAAGTGAGTCAGGTCTGGACTGGCTGTAGCTGTCCCAAGATGGTGCTGAGAGACCATAGGAGGTGTTGGGGGAGGTGGCCCTCAGCGTGACTGGATTACTGAAGGCAAGGACTGGTGCTTCTGGTCATAATTTCCACCTTATGCATTAGGAAGCGGAGGCTCAGGGTGAAGATTTTTGCCTGAATACCAGGATTCTCATCATACCTGACTGGCTCCTCCCCCCTCACCTCCACCCACAGCAGTCTGGCTGGCAGCAGTTGAGGTTTGGGGGTGGTCACTGTCTGCTCCATTAGTCACAGCATACTGCAGAGTGACTCTCACCACTTTTCATTCCTGCCCCGGAGTCCTTCTAACCTAGTCAGAAACAGAAGGGCTGCAGAAGCCCCTGCTCCACCCTACAGGCCAATCTTGACTAATGCTGCCTCAAGGCAATGCCCAACCCATCCCTCTTCCCAGCCAGGTCATCACTGAAGACTGCTCCAAGTAAGGTTAGGACAAGGAACAAGGACCACCCCTGATCTTCTATGAGGGTCTGAGGCTAAATGTGCCAGAAAGGAAATGCGGATACTTTGGTCTCGTTTGGAAAATGGGGCACCTGGCTGAAATCCAAATTCTTTAACGACTTTAGGATCTCCCTGGTCTCTCCTCACCCCACGTCTGTGCTGCAGGCCTAACGCCTTTCAATTCCATGAATGGGCCATGCTCTCACCTCTGGGCCCTTGCACGTGCTATTCCGACTGAAAGTCTTCTCCTCAAATGCTCCCCATCCATCAGTGCCAGAGAGTTGCTCCAGCAGCCACTCTCCCTTTCTTCCTTGACAATAGAACCTTATTCTATTGGAAACAGCTGGTGCCCAGCCCAATGGGAAGAATAATGCTTGGTCTGTGACCTGCCCGATCACCTTTGCTACTTTTCCAGTATCCGTTAATAGTTAGAAGTGGCTGACACTTTTTCTAGTCCAGGGTATCTTCTGAGAAAGATTTTGCCTCCTGGATGACTTTTTTCCTGCTTGGGAAGTGTTATGAGGTGTGGAGCTGCCACAACCTTCTTGCAACTTCAAGGTTACAATCCTTCCTGAGGATGAGCAGCACAGAAGAGCCTGGTTCCTTGGTGGTATTGTTGAGCCCATGGACTGTATCTGAAACTACCTATCCCCAGACTTCTCATTTTGTGAACAAAATACTCCATTTTTTTTAATGCCAGTTATTCCCTGCAGCTGAAAACATTCCTAACTAATGCCTCATCCTCCAGGTTCCCACTTTAAAAAGGTCACATCCTCCAGGAAACATTCCCTGACTACTAGGAACGGGATGAAGGGCTCCTCCTCGGGGCAGTGGATGCATGCTGTCTTTCATGACCACTGCACCTGCTCACTCTCGTTCACGTGCCTCAGGAGGTTGTGAGAAAGGCATCAGGGGCCACACGGCTGTCACCATTTTACTCTAGACCAGAATTATTTGTTGAATTAATAAGCAAACCAGTAGCTGGTTGCTGGGACAGCATCCTTGAGGGCAAAGACAGGGCCTGGTCCTCACCAGCTTGCAGACAGCTAAGCTGAATGACCACTACATAACCTCTAAGGAGTGGGTGTGTGCACACACATATTGGAGGAGGGTGGGTGTGACTTTACAGGCTACAATTATAGTAGCTGCTGCTCACTGCTCAAGACAGCCTGCATTACCTCTTGGCATGTACCACCTCTGAAAAGTGACTAAGTTTCCCTCCCTCTGCCTTGGTCCAATTTTAGGCAGAGTCACAGCCACTCATCCATGTATTCTACTTCACCTGTGGCTTACATGTGCTCATCTGCACTGGGAACGACTACGACACCCAAGTTTTTTTTGTTCCCTCCCACAGAGAAGCAAATCAGAGTTGAAGTGTCTCTTGATACTGTAAGACAGACATTGCTAAAAGCAAAATGTCTGTTTTGAGTCACCTGGTTCTTCATACCTTCACATTTCTGGTGTCATCTTTCCACTTCTCACTTTATGCTCAAGGGCTTGATCCTGTCCCTTGAAGCAAGCAGGACATTTGTGTACACACACTGAGTCAGGTACCTGACACACATTATTTCATTTAATCCCCACAATTATCAGTATCCTCACTTTACAAAGAAATAATAATATATTAGCCATAGCCACTGGGCCAAACTTCAAGCAAACTCACTGCCACTGAGTCAATTCTAACTCATAACAACCTCCACTAGGTTTCCAAGGCTGCACAGTTTTATAGGAGCAGACTATCTCATCTTTCTTTTATGGAGTGGCTGGTGGGTTTGAACCAGTGATGTTTTGGTTAACAGCCAAATGCCTTAACCACTACACCACAGAGCTCCACTGGGCACTATACCTTATATATACCATCACTAACTCTCCCTAAAAGATGTCGTTGTTAATTTATATTCCAATTTTACAGATAAAGAAATGAATACATGAATATGAATACCAGCTAATATGTGGTAGGGAGGCAGGTTCAGTGGGTCAAGTCAGACAAGGGACCCATCCCTGGAATAATGCCTGAAGAAGAGTGTATCAGTGGTTTGGGTATAAAAATTTATTACACATACAGAATTTTACTACTAACGAATACAGACAGGCTAGGATACAACAGTACTGGGTAGAGGACAGCTAGCTCTTTGGAAAGTGAACAGGTATGGGTGGCTCAGAGCCTCATGCCACACTGATTGGTCAATCAGATTAGGAGGGCACATGCCAAACACCATGGGGCTGCAGGGCACCGAGTGATTGCTCTGCCTGCCCGCACTGCCCTCCCTGTCTGATTTAGTTTCAAAAGATGCCACGCCCAGAAGCAAGCAACTGAAGGAAAAAGGCTTTCCAAGGTGGTCTCAGAAGTGACTGCAACACCATTTTAAGCAATATGTTTAATTGGATGATTTCCATAAACTATACACGAAGTTTCTAACCATCACAATTCAGTGAAGTACAAAACATTAAGTTACAGGCTGTGGGAACAGAAGGAGAACCAATGGTGGCACCTTCTTATCCTGGTTGCTCTGGGGGTAGGGAGTGGGGAAGGTCTTTTTTAAAACCAACCCCTCATTTCAATGTACAAAAGAATTCTTTTGATTGATATTAAATTGTATTGAAACAAAATGGACTAAAAAGCAAATACTACTCTATGTTTGGGTAGGGCTGGGAGGGGAGAATGAGTCCTTCAAAGCAGGAAGGGAGGCAGGTGGAAGAAGGTTCTGTGGCTGTGACCCCTGGCAGTCACTCACGCTGCTCCATTTTTACTTTTGGTGGTCTCAGGAAGGTCCGATTTTTCTTCTCTTTCTTCCCCTTTGTATTTGCTTGGAAATTTCGCCAGCTATCCACACGACCATCTCGACTTTCCTAAGCACAAAAGAAATTTGAGGTAAGGAAGCTACTTAATGAGAGGAAGGGCCTCATCGCTCTGCCACCCTCCTGCTGCCAGCCCTTTCCTCAGGAATGGCCGAAGAGCAGAAAAGAGCAGAGCTTTTCTCCCACTGTTAAGAGACCCAAGGCAGTGTAACATCACCCTGAAAAGCAGGGTGAGCTCTGGCTGGAAGAGGAGGGGGTAAAACAAGTAACACTCACGCATAACAATGAGATCACCATTTTGGGGGACCTCTGAACTAGATGTTTAGCATGGTATTTCTAATCTTTACAAAGACCTGACTAATGTCCTGTCATCCACATTTCACAAACGATGACACTGCAGCTCAGAGAGGTTAAATCACTTTCTCGAGGGCTACAGCCAACCAGTAGTACAGTTACTTTTTCCACTACACTTTCCTGCCAACCCCCAAAACCTAGATGGATGTCTGAAAGCCAGCACAATGCCAAGCTGCTGTACTGAGAGTGTGTCTAGGATCTTCTCCTCCTCATCAAGGAGCCTGCTCATTTTTCTCTTTTCATAGATGAAGTGGGACAGAGACAAAGTTATCAACTCTGGTGAGCCAATACCTACCCTGAATCCTAAATTCTACAGGAGAAAAGATTAAATGCTGTTAGAACCTAGGAACTCTGCTGAGCATGTGAAGAACATAACCAGGGTCTTGAATAAGAGTCATAAGAAGTCTTTTTGCAGTCTGAACACTAGGGTTACAAGAACCTCAGTTCCTACTACCAGGCTGCCAGGAAGGGCCCTACTCTACAGTTATGCCTAATGTACAGACCATCTTCCTTGGGCCCAGTCGGCAGCTCTGCCTGCCACCACCTCTGAAAAACCATTCAAGGATTCCCACTGCCCTTGTCCAAGGGCACAGAGCTTGAAAGCAGCTGAGCCAGGACCCACACTTATTCTCCAAATTTCCTACTCTTCCCCCATATTCTATTTCCTTGTCTGTGAGAATGCCCCAGGGACCAAGTTTCTATCCTGGGAAGATTTTATTCTGGAATGAAAAAAAAAAGCCTGGCCACTTTGAATACTCACCTCAAAGTTTTTCTGCCATTCCCTTTCTCGCTTGGCTTTTTCTTGAGCTTCAATCTCTTCTTCCCTTTGTCGCTTCCTAGGAGGAAACCAGACCACACAGTATTTATATGATACTTACACACACTATTAACCATACAACTTAAGGCATTCTCACAGAAGCAAGCAATTAAAGTAAATCAATTCCCAACAGAACGCTACAAAGATGGCTGTCTGGAACGGGCTCAAAGATGTTTCATGACTGTCTCATTCCAAAACACGCAGATGAAACTGTGGGCAGGGATGTAGGGCCAGATATAAATATCTCTGTTATACAGATAGACAGATACGGTAATCGAAGGTCAGCCAGCAATAATCTGAGGTTTGGGGCTCAGTCAAGGACGAAGCTTTGTAGAGGACCCAATCCACCTTAATTCAGCTATTAAGCAAAATGACCACAATGGCAGAGGTTCTACACTTCACACACAAAAACCTCAACTAGCAAAATCTAGTAACAGCTAAACACCAAATAACAATACAAAACACATAAACCAAATTAACCTCAAGACTTCTGATAAGTCAGGGATATCACATTTAAATAATAAACATTTTGTAAGTATTTACTTATATTGCACAACACTACACACTCACCACTAGTCACACAAAAGGATCTAGCCTCAACAACAATGGCCTTAATACCTCTGCCATTTCGTTCCAGGAAGCCAGGAATACAAGCGCACTCCTGATTACAAATTCTCTAAGGTCAAGTCTACTCAGTATTTCCTAACAGTTAAAGCAAGAATTTCTTACTCTGGTGATTCAAAAGCTTGCCTGTTTCAGATAACAATTTTAGATGGTCCTCAGTGATACACTGTATGTTTCTTTCATTAGGAAAATCCCCCAAAGGATTCATTATTCGAGGTATTTAGATAATGTTTAAATAAATACCAATATGTACCTTTCATGCATTTCTTTGGCTTCTCTTTCTTTCCTTTTAATTTCCAATTCAGCAAAGAGTTTCATGGTCTGTTTGTATACTGCTTGTTTGAACTAAAAGAAAATTTAAAACATAAGAAAGGTAAAAATGTTACCAGCAACCTGAATCAAATACTTTTAAATGGAACCCAAGGCTCCTCGGAAGGAAGGTTGGGATATTTACTTCTGTAGTGATACTGCCTTGGAAACCCAAGGAAGGGTCACTATGAGTTGGGTCCGACTCGACAGCACGTAACAACAACAACAACAACAAGGCTAAAGTAGGTTAGAACCCACCTGGGGGGAAAAAAAAGATTCTTCATAGATACCTACTTAATGATGTTGACTTTCTCTTGGGAGAAGAATAACATATCCACTGACAAGACCGTTCCACTTTTACCACGCAGATTATACACAGAATCCTGTTCTGATTAAAAGCTCCCAATAAGAAAAATTTCTGTTTCCATATTACCATCACTTGAGTTTTTAGAAGGCCCTTTCCTCAAAAGAAACTCCAAAAACAAATTTCCTTCTTCCTTTTCACAAATATTTTCTAATGATCTATACTCAGCCAGGCACCAAGATAAGCACTAGAGATAGGAAGTTGCTATTAAACAATCCAGTCTTGGGGGGGCTATTGATTGTGTAGACTTACTAGTTGTTTCCCCCACTCCTATTATCAGTTCTCTCATAACTTAAGACACATGGCCACCCAACATAAAGCCTGTTTTTCCCATGTTTTCTTATAGCTAAGCGTGGTCTCATAACTTAAGTTTTAACTGATGGAATACAAGGAAAAATCATGCATGCAACTTCCTGGAATGTTCCAAGAGGGAGCTGGCTTATTCTTTCTATCCTCACTTCCACTAGTCTGTTGTCTGACACATGGATGAGATGATGAGACATTCTGAACTCCAAGGATGGAGGCAACATCATTTTGGCAGAGCCACAGAAAGGAGGAGACGGAGTCATTGGATGACACATGGTACAGAATTACCACACCAGCCTAGGGCCATCTTTCCAGAGACTATTATACAGGAGAGAAAATAAATCTCTAACTGATTCCAACCACCATCATTTTGGGACTCCATTTTATGAAGCTGAACTTATATTCTAACTGACAGAAACAGATAATAAAACATTAGATTGAACACACAAAAGCAAAGAGCCTTTTTTAAAAAATTATTATGTAATAGTTCTAACAGAGGTAATTGTTAGTATTAGAATTACAGAAAAAGGAAAGAAATAAAGTTAAGTGACCTAGCTCCATCCCACAAAGTTAACAAAACTACAGTCCTCTCCCCCATTAGCTTTTAATCGTTTATTGAGAAGAAAGCTTAAGAAAAGAACTTATGTTTTTAACTCCATCTTTAAAACTTTTCCCCCTCACATATAAAGTACAAAGAAACACAGAAAATAACCCACCATGCAGATTTAACTGGGTCTGTCTCCTAAAATCAGAAACAACAGATGTGATGGTTATGTTTGTATGTCAGTTTGGCTAGGCCTGGTTGAGTGGCTGGGCAGCTGGATATAGTATTCCCCATAATGAGACTGGTAATCAGCTCCATGGTGGGATCTACCACAAGCAGCTGAGTAGCTGCCTTTGGGTATGTGGTCCGCTTCCTGTATATAAGGAGAAGCTTTGAGATTGGTCTCCAGCCTATGGCACACTTGGACCCTGCATGTAGCCGTGTCATTGCTCAGCAGCCTGCTATGCTCTGCTGACCTTGGGACTTACAATGGACTTAAGTCAATGGCCTGCCGTGTGGTAACATCGGGACTGTGCCTTTTTTACTTGTCAACCTTGGGGTTTCTCAGCCTCAGCAGCCAACAGCTGTCTGAGTGAAGAAACACCGCTAGCTCCAGTGGGCTGGGAGCAGGAGGCAGAGCTAGACCCCAAGGTTGAGGGGCTTTCACCCAGCCCCTAGAGCCTGGCACTTTGAACTTGGACTTAAAGCCTCCAAGTTTTAAGAATAAACTCCTGTTTGTTAAGACCATCCCATTTGCGGTATATTCTTGTCAGAGTGGCACTAGGTTACCAGAACACTAGAGTATAAATGAGTGTGGAGAAAAGAGAAGTAAAGAAGTCTCAAAGTTTCTGTCACTAGCAATACTCAATATGTGAATTCTCCACAACCTGACCAAGGCAAATGAAGACATTAAGAGGTATGCAAGAACAAGGGACAATTTTGGTAAATGCTGTAACATACATAATTCTGCAACAATGTTGTTGTTGTTATGTGCTGTCCAGTCAGCCCCAACTCATAGTGACCCCTGCTTGGGTTTCTGGGGCGGTATCTCTACAGAAGTAGACTGCCTAAACTTCCTTCCAAGAAGTGGCTGGTGGGTTTGAACCACCAGCCCTCTGGTCAGCAGTCAAGTGCCTTAGGCACTACGCCACCAGAGCTCATAGTAATAACCAAATAATATCAATGTGGTTACACAGGCATGTAAGTATGCATATATGTGTACAGGAAAGCGTATGTGAGTACATGCATATATCTGTAGACATACATGTTATATGTGTAGATATACAAGTACGCTGCATATATATTCATATCTATATTAAAGCACATTGAAGGCACAGTTACGGAGATTTCCTAGACTTAGCCAAACACCTCACAGGATAGGTTAACTGGATTAAAAGGCACAGAAGCGGAGTCTCGTGGGACAATTCAAGTCAAATGGCATGATATAGTTCATAAAAATAATGTTCTACATTCTAGTTTGGTGAGTAGTGTCTGGGGTCTTAAAGGTTTGAGAACAACCATCTAAGATACAACTATTAGTCTCTATTCATCTAGAACAAGAACATGAAGGAAATCAAAGACTCAAAGAAGATACTAGTCCACAAGAACCATGGTTTCTTACAGCCTGAGACCAGAAGAACTAAATGTTGTCCAGCTACCACTAACTGTTCTGAGCAGGGACACAATAGAAGGTCCCAGACAAGATGGGAGAAAAATGTAGAACAAAATTCAAATTCCTAAAAAACTGCCAGATTCACTGGACTGACAGAGACTATTGTTCTAAGAAACCCTTTGAACTTGGGACTGATGTCACTCCTGCAGGTCACCTATCAACAAAAAATAGATTGGCTTATAAAATAAATATTACCCTTGAGTCATGTGCTCCCTTAAAGAATCAACTATATGAAACCAAATAGTCAACATTTACCCAAAAGCAAAACCAAGAGGGCAAGGAGGGGCATGAAGTTCGATCAATGGAAACAGAACAAACAGAATGGAAATAATGAAAATGTTAAATGGGAACCTAATTTGCTGTGTACACTTTCATCTAAAACACAAATACTTGAAAAAAAAAAGTTTTGTTAATTCTCTTCAATGTTGTTACCTTCCAGGCACTGCTCGGTGACAGCAATGCTGATGAACCCCAGTCCCTAATAAGGACAAACACCAAAGGGGTGAAGGTGTCTGTAATGATTTCACTATCTTTGAAAGCTTCAGACTCTTTTGGATGGTTACTAGGTATTTTTAATTTTTTATATTTTTCTGCCTCTTCTAAATTTTCTATCATTAGCATATGTTCCTATATAATCAGAAGGACAAAAAGACAACCAAAAAGGCTAGGATAAGCAGGAGGACCAAGGAGTACTTGTGAGAGTCATCAGAAAAGATTAAAGAAAATTGAAGAAGCAGCTACAAGAGGAAGTTTCCCTAGCCAGACAGCCTCTCCTCCAGAAAACTTAAATAAAACAAGTCCTTGGGAGATGTTATACATTGACCTAGATTGTGACAAGACTAAGATGACTGAATTTTTCAGGCTAGTCAGGAAATTAAATACAAATATTTAAGCAGAGTATCTCTTAACCAATCCTCCCCTAAAATAACTCACTGGATTAACCTATGCTCTGCATTTCATCTGGAAAGCATTATCTGGAGCACAAAGAATACCATGCCTAATAAACAGCTGTCTGCCTATCAAGAGTCGTGATTGTTCCCAAAGCTATTTATGCCAGTTCTGCCATTATTATTATAGTTATGTAATTTAAATATCATAGAATTAATAAACACAAAAACCTGTTTCTTTAAAAACTAAGTTGAATGCTTTCATAAGGTTCAATAAACCTGAGTCCCTAAGAACAACCTCTAGTGGATTAAGTACAAGTGAGACATCTGAAAAAGACTGGAAAAAAATCGTAAATATCCAGGATTTTGCCTTTAGTTTGCTTTACAAGTCCCTAAACGTTCAATGTACTTGAAAAGAAATAAGTAGAAATTATAGGTAATGTTTTATGTGTGCCGTTTATAAAATAAAGTCAAAAGGAAACTCCAATAAGGAGACCCACACTATTCAAAGAAAAGTCTATACGTATCAAAAAAAGGATGAATGAATATACATTAAGTTTGCATTAAAATAAAATATTGAAGGCACATATGTATTATTTTCAGTCCTCTCTCTGGTTAAGCCTCCAATCAGCGATATCAATCACACCAAGTAAGGGGGCTTTTCTCATACTGAACTCACCAACTCAGGATCATCTTCCTCCACATTTGTAGGTTTCCCTTCCTTCTTTAATTGCTTTTTTCGCTCTTTCACCTAAAAGAAAAAAAGTTTTCATCAAATGATTAGCACTCACACTTTGAGAATACACATCAAGCTGAATACATATGATATGGGCACATTTCTGAACGTATGTCACGACTTTAACATAAGGTTTAAGTTTAAAAAAAAAAGCCCCTCATCTCCCACCCCCAAAACACTAATGAAATCAAGAAAAACTAGGAAACATGGGTCCTTTCTCTAATCACACCTAAAAGCCAATCTACCAAGAAGGTGAAGACGCACCAGCCGGGGGTTGTCTCCAACTTCTGAGATACTATGCCAGATCCAAAGAGCTTTTGATGCATTGACCAGATTGATTAATCTTTCACAACTTGTGGTTACATGTTCATAGCAAAGTCGATATATTTTGTCAAGTTTTAGAAGAAGCTACTGAATTTGTGGCATGAAGTTTAAGTAGTGTTTTTGGTTTTTAGCATTTCTACAACTGCATTTTTGACAATTTTAACTATGAAGTCCCCTAAAACTAGTAATTTTCACATCACATTACTGATGTTTGTATTACATTGGCAACCATGAGATAAATAAATAGACCCACATCCATACAAGAATGTCATTACTCCATTAAATAACCATCTGTTCTATTACACCAGCAAAAAGCCAAGTGCCTTCCAAGCTCAGAAAGGCCCTACTGCCACCTTGTGGTCAGGAACCCTAAAAATGGCTCTCTAACTGGCAAAATACAGAAAGGTATTTCTACTACCATCATTTAAAGACAAACTGTCATGTACTTTTTTGATTTCTACTAGAACTGGGCCTACAGGTGACATCATTTCCAACACACAACCAGCAGGACATATTATGGCCCTCTATCTCCTCTTTTTACCCATTTTCCTTGTCTAAACTGGACTTTTTATTATTGTTTACAAATTTCCGCTTCAGATTCCAAAGTTTTCAAAGGAAAGATCACATCCATACTCTTTTCTGATAGATCTCTTTGTAACACAGACTCTGAGATAGCTCTTATAAACGGCCTTGAGATTCTTGCCCCAATAAGTTAAAAATTAAAACAAAGACCTTTCTTACCTCAAGCAAGCCATCTTAACAATTCCCATTACAGGAGATTTTGGTAATGCCCCCCAAAAGCAAAATGTAATGTTAGCTAACTGATGTCTTTTCATGAGTCTTTCCCAATCAGTATGGATAGTTTTGGTTTTTTTTTTTTTAATTTTAAATATTATTCATTTCCCCTAGCCTGCCTTCCTCGAGCCCATATTCCAACCACTCCACAGGGACAAGAATAAAAATCAAGGGTCAAATGTCACAGTGCTGCTCCACTCTTCCACTTTCAGAATAGGGTGACTGGCAACATGTAACAAAAGGGCAAGAAAAGCCCTCTCTCCAAACCACAGAATTGGCAGGGAAACAGGTGGTAGAGATGTCCTAGCCATTCCTCTCCCTGAGCTCTCAGGGTGAATGATAGCTATAGTCACACTTTCTTGACCATCGTAACAGAGTGGTGGAGACCACGTTAGTGGCCACCGGTTAACCCAGTAGGCACTGCTATGCTAACATTTACCCTCCTACATGTTGCCCAAAACTTGCTATTACTTCCTGTAAACACAACAGCACTATAAATACTTACAGTGTGTTCCACGTATTCTTTTCCTGCCTGAATTACATCCAGGGCCCTCTTCTTTTGTTCCTGATCCAGTAGCAACTTGTAAGCTTTGTCCACAGCTAATGCAAAACATTGAAATTAACTGTTTCTGCAAATACCCTCTGAAAGCCTGAATGAACTATACTCAGGCGGTGTAAATGGGCTTGTGCCATCTAAAAGCATTCCCTAGTTTTAAGTTATTTACTGTTGTTAAACTAATTTAAAAACATACAACTTTAACAATGAATTCCTTTAAGAGCCTTGGAGCTCTTACACAAGACTGTTTACACAAAACTATTTACACTACATCTAGATTTAATTCAGTGATAAAATATTTCCAATATTTTTTTAGGTCAACAACAAAAAAAATCCAATGCAATAACAGTCTTTGTTTGCATATAAAAGTTTTACACAACAAAGTTAAGCTCTACTTCTTAAATAGCAACATTCTGCTTTGGCATGACAACTGCACTACTGAAAACCACAGCTTCTTTACAACCAGAAAACAAAATAAGAACATTCCTTTCTTGACCCAAGACAAGGGACAGTTAGTCTCTAGCACTGGGAATACATTACTCAGAAGCAGGTAAATGTACAAATACCTTCAAAAGCTTTTTGTGCTCTGTCAGCATCATCTTGATTTTTGTCGGGATGCACCAATATGGATAACTGCAATAAGAAAAGAGTTAGGTTTCTCAGTAAGAGGACTATTTATTAACTCTTGACCTTAAAACCAAGGTTCTCGGAGTACTGAGGGCAAAAAAGACTGCCATAGCTAGACGCATTTTTAAAAAATAAAGAATAAATCTCATGTACAAAAATACTGGTCTTTAATAAAATTCAAGCTCGCAGAGGTAAATACAAAATTGAGAAACATTTAGAGTTTCAATCATAATGTTGAGAACAAATGGCAGCCTAGCATTACGAAGATGTGATAACTTGGGGGAGACGGGCTGAAATGTACTGCTTTCCAATTATGCTTTTTGTTTGAGCACTGAAGGACAAAAAGCAGGTATGAGACATTATGTCTTTCCTAAAAGAACTTCTAAAATAAAGCAGTGGTTCTGGCTGCACTCCAACCCTATGAAGGTTTTTTAAATTAAAGAAGTCTACTTTCTACCCTCTGAGCAATTGAATCAGTTTCTGGCATCTGTATTTTTCAAACCTCTTCTAAACTGAGGATTAGATGATAGTAAGGAGTGATTTGTTCATTTTTGTTAAGTGTTACAAATCGTTACTTAAGAAAACATCTTTTATTTGAGGAGACACAAGCTTAAGTGTTGCTGTTGGGGGCTGCTGAGTTGATTCTGACACACAATGACCCTATGGGACAAAACAGAACTGCCCCACAGGATTTCGTAGGCTGTAATTGTTATAGAATCAGGTCACCAGGCCTTCTGCTGAGCTGCTGGTGGGTTCAAACCACCAATCTTGTAGTTAGCAGCTGAGTGTTTAACCACTAAGCCATCAAGGCTCCTTCATGATAAAGTATTTAGAAGTAAAGTGTCATGGAGACCATAATTGACAATGATTTAGCCAAAAATATACAGTTAATGAAGCAAACTGTTACATATAGGTGGCAGATAATATGGGTACTTATTTCTCTATTCTTTCTTTTCTAAATATAACCAAAAGTTTTCATAATGAGAAAGTTTAAAAAAAAAAAAAAAAAAAAACCTGCACAGGTGATTCTTTCTTTCCTGCAGCCAAGGCTAAGAATTAATGACTTACTGCCACTGGCAGATAGAAACCAACCAACTGGACCATAGGGAACAGTGTTAGAGGATGACAGCAAATGAGAACCTAATGGTAAGTTCAGCATTACTGGAGCCAGGATCCTGGGTTCTAATTCCAACTTCCACTGCTTAATAGCTGTGAGAAACTGACTTAGCTATCTCCGCCTCAGTTTCCTCCTCTGTAAATGGCACAATACTAGGTACTTATACCTCATTGCGTTGTTATAATAAATAAATGAGGTAATGTAAGTGAAGAACTTATTAGCACAGTGTCTAACACAATGACAAGAGATAGCATACACTGAGTATATACTATGTGCTGAGACCTATTCTAAGTGCTTTATGTATATTACCTCATTTAATCTTTTTAACAGCTTCCATGGAAGGCCCATTATGTGGATTTCACATATGAGGAAACAGGCATAGAAAGAGTGAAAGTAACTCTGCCCAAGTTCACACTCCTTGTAAGCCAAGATTTCGCTTCAATGCCCACACTCTTAACTGTAAGCATATTAACAACTCACTAAGAACCCTGAGTTCTTAAAAAAAAAAAAAAAAAAAAGTTGTTTTCACAATGGACTTGAAAACTTGCTTACTAAATTGGGAAAGATTGCTAATGCATTACATTAGGAAACTTGAAATTTTAGAAAAAGGAAAAAGGCTGAACATCAGTGCAGAGCTGAACTCAGGAAGCAAAAAGGCTGTAAGTTACATAATGGGAAATAACTGAATCAGCAATGATAAAATACATGTTGGCTTACTAGCAGATCAGAAGATGAGTATGAGTCAGCTATATGGGGGCAATCACTGTACTGAAGAAGCAAGCACATACTGGATATTAGTAAGTATGTCATACACAAGCAGGTAATGACATTCAGCACTGCCC